CATGAAAGTCAGAGAGGCAGAAACTCATACAAAACTCTTCTGCATCAAAAAGAGGTGAGCAAGTGTCATCTGTTACTGTATGCAAGTGCTCTTTCTGGGGAGGATTGGATGAGGTGGTAAGGGGCTAAATGACACCATGGATTGGCAGTGTCTGGTTCTGCCACTGATGCACAACTCTGGCCTTAAAATCCCCAGAGCAAGGGGTTGGTGAGTTGTCCTTAGGCAGCCTAGCTGAAATGGCAAGGTGATGCTTACATGGGCCAGCCCTGAGAGTTTCTGCAGCTCTTGTTGCTGCCAAAAGCAATTCTTTGCAACCAAAGATGTTTCATTTCAATATAGCAGCACAACCCACTGAGTCTGAAAGACAACCATGTTTTGCTGAGAAGGCAGACAGGACATGTCTAAGCCCCTGGTTGAACACAAACTGCCACCAAAGCTTTTCAGTGTGAATTGGGGTTATTTCATAGATTTAGACAAACTTTACACTGAGGCTTCTTCTTTGTTTTGACCTTTTGAGTACTTACCACCTGCTCACCTCATCTCAAAGAAGTACCCTGGAGAGGGAAGCAGACACATCACAAAGTGGCTCTCACATTCCTTTACTCTAACCTTGAGGTGTTTGGTTTACACCTATAGCTGATGGAGGGTTCTTTAGCCGTCTTACTGAACTTTCCTCTGGATGCTAAGCGCTCTGCATTCTGGATATTACTAATCATATTCTTTAAGGACTTAGGTTTAATGCTTTGCTAAGGCTGACATGTTAAGAAGAACAAACCTTCCTCTTCTGCATTTTTAATGGAACTTCAGTTTGAGAGATACATTTTGCAAAAAGCCATAAATACTTGCAGAAAACATAGACAATTTTTTTGAAGGCCTGTTTCTGATAAAAGATAAACAGATATTTGCAAAGCCAGCTCCTCAAATGAATGAGTTAAAATATGATCTTTGATGTGGAAAACAACAGCAGCAACAACAACAACAACAACAACAAGACTCTAACATTACATTCAAATCGGATATTTCTTTTTTTTTTTTTTTCCTATTACTACAGGTCTTCTCTTTCATCAGTTAAGAATTCAGTACCCTGGTTTTCATTCAGGGTCTTAGAATGCAAATATATCATGCTTCTAATCATACCAAACTCTTCCTTAATTTCATCCTTTTCAAAAAGAATGGAGATAAATGAAGGCATTTCAACAAAGAAAACACACAACACTTCATGAAAATTGTAGGTCTTTAAAGTAATCATTTTATCTTTCTTTTGTATGACATTGTTTATTGTAAGACATCATTTTTATTAAATACACTGGAATACAAGAGAATTTCCATGTCATGTGGAGAGAATCTGGTCACATGATTCACAAACAAAACTTTTAACACTGATACCTAGGCATCACTTCAAAATCAGCCAAGATGCAATGAAAGTTTTAAAGCAATGACTTGTTATAACAAACTGCAAAACAAGAACCACTAAATATTTGCACAGAGACATCACACTAAAAAGAAAGAAAAGGAAAAAAGAAGGAAGAAAGATAGCTCTACACACCAGGTCACAGTTTAGTGACAGTAATGAGATTTATATTTATATGTAGGTATCTTCCTCTTTATCTCAAGTGACACAGAGAGAGATATCTAGAAATATATATATGCATAAAGTATAGGTGGAGAACAGGGCTGGGGCAAATATTTCATAATTAATTGATTATTCAATTAAGCATCAATGTTGAATTCAGTTGCTTTTATATAAAACATTCTTAGCTGTTTTTCTTCATTACAGAAAGATACATATAAGCTGCAATAGATAGGCCTCTGGAAAGATATGATTTTCTTACATATTCCAATCAAATGGCCTTTCTACTGGCAGCTTCTATTATCCTTGCACAAAGTACTCAGTGTTTATAAAATACCAGCCAGTCATCACTCGGAACCTTCTACAAGCAAACAAAAAAGTCCCCACAGACCTGGTCTAGAATGCATAGACGGTAAAATAATACACCCATCATTTCCCATTTCTTCTCCTGAGACATATGTTTAAAAGATGGCAAAATAGTCACTTGGTTGCTATTGTGAAATTCACAGTGTTTTCCCTGCAACATGTAGACTTTTTGTTGTTTTTTTGTTTGTTTGTTTGTTCTTTTTTGCTTCATATTTATGATTAATGTAGCATCCCTCACCTACCCCCACCCCAGCCCAAATAAACATCTTTTAACTAAGGCTCTTAAAGGACCTCTTGATTCACAGCAGCAGTGGTTTATCCCAGCCCTGACAAGAAAATACAACTTCCTGTGCTATCAAAACCTTCATTTTGATTAGAAACCCTGATCTATTCACCATCCCTTCCCCAGCTCCCTCCCTCATATTTTATAGCAGTATTTGAAATTCCCATACAGGCTGCAACAACTCAGACATAGTCTAACACATATGCACTGTATCTTATTCATCCAGTGACCTGATCATTTGACTGGGTTGTTTTATTTCTTTTTAAAGTGTTTTATAAAGTCTACATCAATCACAACAAAAACAGTATCTGAGAAAGGTGGGAAAGAGGAGGAAGGCAAGAGGGAAAGAGAATGAAAAAGAAAGGAGCTAAAAGAGAAGGAGATGAAAGAAATGGAAAGAAATAGGAAAGAGAAGGAGAAAGGGAATGAAAGAAAAAGCAAGAAAGAGAGAGAAAAAAAAGGAAAAGTGAAAAAGGAAAGAAGTAAAATATAGGCATTAAACTGTTAAACTATAGACAATATACAGATATACTGGTTTACAAATCAAAATGAATGAAATCATTTTTAAAAGGGTGCACTCCATCATGCATCATGGGGTGCTGTTGCTTTACAAATACCTGTTCACCACCACCAGTTCTGGGTTCTGTATATCAACAGAGTGAAGGACAGTGTGGCAGCTGCTGCAATTATTACTGCTGAATTTTGGCATTCTCAATGTCCTACGTGTAGTGTTGCAGTCTGAATAGTCCAGCTCGTGCTTGGAATTATTTTGCTACTGCAGATGAGTATAAAATGCTAATGGAGCTGCACTGTTATTCTAGGACAACAAAACAACAATAGCACAAACCCAGAAATGACAGTCAGTCAAACTCTTCTTTTGGAGCTTGGAAGCTTATTTGTTCATTTCTTTGTGACAAATCAACAGTGAAATGGGAATGGAAAAAATGTTTTTATGCAATCATAAGGAGGAGAAAAGTGCTTGTTATATCTCTGGCATTCTAACATTGCCTCTGCTGCACACCAGTTAAAGTTGAATCTTAGAAACATAGAAAAAGAAACATCGAAAGAAAATATGATTTTGGTTACTCAGCAGACTTAATCAATTTATTAATAGCACTCTAATTATCATTTGTTATAACGTAGGTGTATGTAAATTCATACATATACACACAATCCATACATAATGTGCATGCATGTCTGCACATATAAATAAAATACAACAGACATAGGCATACATGTATATGCTATGTGTGTGTATATATATATGCCATATGCAAGCACACATATATATTATATATATGATCAGTTCATAGCACAGTCCAGAAAGACTTTTAAAATGAGCCTGATTGTCATAGTTACTCAGTGTACACAATTTAGCGGACAGTGCAAGCATGATGAATATGCACATATACTCACCCTTTACTGGGATTTGAGAATATTTCTTCTTTTTCTCTGCTCATTCTGCTACACTTACCCACCTTTTCATGAACAAATGCAAAATATGTATAGCTACAGTTTATAGCTTGTCTACTCTGATTACACATTTTATGCGCTATCAAGAACATTAATGATATAGGTCAAGGTTACCATACTGGTGTTTCTGTAGAACATTTGGTCCTTTAGAAGTTTAACATACTGCTATGTTATTGCACAACGCATTGTAACATTATTCATTTTCTGAAACGACTGTAGTAGTCTCACTAGAAGATCAAAAAGAAGATGCCACTAATTATAATTTCAAGGTTTTGTGAGTTTGGATTTTGTTTTGTTTTGTTTTGTTTTGTTGGTGGTGATTTTTTTTTTTTTTTGTATTCATTCTTTCAGTGCTTGCAAAACCCACCTGTTTGCTTTCAGGCTGGAGCCTGCTTTTCAGTGGAAGGAGCATCTCAGATGCCTTTTTCTCAAGCTCATAAGACCCTAAGACAGAACACAGCAGGCAGAAACTCGGCAGCTCTCTCTCTGTCACCTGCAGCCTTCTCCCACCACACAGTATCAGTGGACAATTTTCTTTTCCACCACAGTTATTTTGAAAATCAGACTCAAATTCCTTTAAAAGATGAAACTCAAATTCTCAAGTGAATGGGTTCCAGTGGATGCTCAGTCTTTATCTAGTTTTCTATATGAATTTCCAGGACAGTCTAGATAAAATCTTAAGGCCCATTTTGTAGGAATCTTCCTCTGGCTTTTTGTGTGTTTCCAGTTCAGTAGCAATTATGAAATAACATCCTGTTTCATAAAGAAATACTGAGTATGGCTTTATAGATACACTGTCATGTTTATTTGTAATGCTGCCCTTTCAATGACATTGAGAAGGGTAAAACTCCATCATTGTCCAGTGAACTACTTTATTCTGAAAACGTTCAAAATCTTTATAAGCTAGCTCTAAAAGCTTCAGAAGAAAGAAAACTAAAGTACCTCAATAAATAATATATGCATGCAAATCATATATTAAATGTGTTATGAGAACACTTACAAAAATAAAATGCTTAATTTATTAAATAAAATATCCCCAACACAAAAATGAAGGACTATTTTGATCTGGCTCATATCAATCAGAAATAACAAAAAGAGAAAAAGAAAACAAAGATTTTTTTTTTTGTTCTTTTTTTTTGTTTTTTTTTTTTTGTTTTTTTTTTTTTTGGTTTTTTTTTTTGGTTTTGGTTTTTTTTTTTTTTTTTTTTTTTTTTTTTTTTTTTTTTTGTTTTTTTTTTTGTGTGTTTTTTTTTGTGGTTTGGTTTTTTTTTTTGTTTTTTTTTTGTTTGTTTGTTTTTTTGTTGTTTTTTTTTTGCAGTAACGCCCCCTCACAGAGGGAGGCAAAAGTATTGAGGAATAGATAAGGTAGGTCTTTTGTAAGAATTCATATTAAAAATAATCCTAACTCTAAATTTGAAATCTTCAACTTCCGGTTTGAAAAATAACAGATATGCCCATGCACTTGTCATCAACACAGTGGCCATGCAAAAGTACACACACAGTGCCCATCCAACAAAAAAGAAATTATTTAAGAAAGACGGGATGTTGGTAATGACAGCACTAATACCAGTACAAACATGGTGCTGAGCTCAAGGTCTTTGCACTCTGAGAAATGAGCCATAACCTCAGAGTAATTTGTTTTCCCCAGGTATCTCACTTTATCCCCTGCCATGGCTCAAATATAACCAGTGATGTCCATGCTTTAGATTACTCATGTAGTATCAGTCTATTGTATCTGTAACATTGTAAAGGCATTTTAACATAGCTAATGTCTTTGATTATCCCCTTTCAATGAAATATAAGTTATACCATTATGAGTTCGCTATGCCTACTAAGGTGTTTTACAAGATGAGTGACAGTTCTGCACAAAGGGCATTAATTGACGGAGACCATGCAACGTTTTGCTTGCATGGTTTGAAAAAAAAAGAGTATGCTTCTGGACAAGCAGAGTGTAAGATACATCTGCCCCAGCATCCATAGCTTGTCCTGTCTTATCAAAATCCTTAGTTTCGTTGTGCGATCCTGAAATTACTACTGTACATTAGTAAGCCTAGCTTCAGCCTTTATTTAAAAAGACTTGCTGGAGAACATTTATGTATCAGTGGCATGACAATATCCTACTAGAAGACAAAGTAAGGGCATGTGTTCACTTATCACATTGCAACATAATTGCGTGCAGTGCTGGCAGCATCTTTTTCCCTTTTAACATAAGCTTGTATCTGGCAATGAAAGGTACTGGCAAAGTACCTCCTTGAATCCCCTTACTCCTCAGAAAGACTCTCCAGGGAAAGTGCTAAACCTCCTCTTGCCTTCCATCAAATCATTTCAATGTTTTCAGTGGGGTTTGATGCCATCTGATCCCACAGTTCCTCCAGATAGTGGATCACACAACACTGTCTTGTTTCCATCTGGCTTTTTCTCTGCAAGGAATACTCTTCATGTAAAGAATGCCAGTCTTCTTTTTCCACCCACATGCTGAAGCAAAAAAATTGAGGTGAATCCATAGAAACTCTCAGTATCTTTACAGCAGACATCACAAAGTTCGAATCAAATATATTTTCCCTTTTTTTCATCCACATCAAAGGCATGAATACAACAAGGCATTGTTAGTTGTGATGGGCAAACTGGAGAGTCTGCTGATATAACAGATCAGGTTTTTAAGGCCTTTGTCTATGCAGAGTTACAATAATGCAGAAGCCAAATTGATTAGAAAGACAGGAAAGAAGAAAAAGATGATAGAAACTGAAAGAGGAAGAGAGAGAAAAGATACGTCTCAGTAATGTCTAAAAAGTCAATACTGTGTCACAGATGGAGAAGTGTACATTGCTTGCCCTTTAAAAGCTTCTCCACAACTTTGTCATTAATACTGTCAAAGTTAAGAACACATTTTAATGGAGTTCAGCGGCAGTAGAACACATTCATTCACACAGCCCATAAGAAGAAATGCTATGAGACTTTAGCCTAAAATATCCAGGTAGACTGGAGATGCCTTGGCCAAGTTCTGAAGGAGGGAGTGGATTTCTTTGATGTTGAGCCTCATGTGAGGTTCCCGTTGCCAACATCCCAGCATCAAGTCATACACTTCCTTGGGGCACGTGCGAGGTCGCTGAAGGACTCGGCCCTGAGTGATGCACTCAATCACCTACAAGAAATCAGAAGGAAAGAATCAGCATGGCTGTGACAACTACATAGGTCTCGTCCACAGAAGAATTAGCTGCTGATGACCGCATCAGCCTCACTGGTGGCAGACAGTTCTGCAAAGGACTGTATTTCTAGGTAGATGGATGGAGAGCGGGATGTGATCCTGAAAATCACTGTATGTCACCAAAGAGCAATAACTTCACTAATGTCATGCATGTCCCTCCCTTTTAGTTCTAAGGAAATGGTGGTCAAAAAGCAGTCTCATATCTCTCTTGCTACCCATCTCTTTACACATTTCATCACAGAGAATAATTTTTCACTTTGCTCACAGAAAACTTCAGCACCCCTTTGTCCCTCCTTATACCTTTGGAACGTTGCTGTGGCTAATCTCTAGAAAGGCATTACTTTTTATTCCCAGTACATTAAGAGAGCTCCTGATTCCTTAAATCTATTTAATTATGCTTTTCAACAACCACTTTTGCAATGGCATGTGTGATATTAGCTGAAATCAGCCAAAGGCAGTACAGGAATTAACTAAGTTCCTTTGCATTACCTCATGGTCCTTCTCAAAACTAAACTATCATATACAAAAGAGGAAACTACATTCCAACCTAGCTTTGCTTGAACAAATTCCATCCACCTTGGGAAGTAAAGGCTGAAAAGGAAGAAATTAAACCACAATATTTATGAAAATATAATAAATAATTGATATTAAACTTTTTGCCTTTACTAGATAAATTCACTGTTGCTTCTCCCCTATAAAAATCATGTAATCAATTAAAAAGCAAACCTCCCCACAAGCACTTTGGAAATTATTGCACAAACCTCATTGTTTGAGAGCTGGTACCATGGCTGTTTGCCATAGGTAAAGATTTCCCATAATACAACTCCCAGGCTCCAGACATCACTTTCAGTAGTGAACTTCCTGTACATAATACTTTCTGGAGGCATCCAGCGAATGGGGAGCATGGTGTGACCCCCAACCTGAGGGAAAAAAAAGAAAAAAGTCAGCAATAATTCCTCCAGATCCAATCAAGGGAATGTATTAAGATATTAAACGGGGCACATATATCATTTCTACTTTTCCTGTCTTTTGCCATTTGCTTCAAAGAGATTTTAAGAAATGGGGAGTTGTGATCCAAACTCCTCTCCTCAAATGACAGTCACTCCTGTGGTAGGTTTTTCAGCAGAATCTCCAAAGATACTGTTTCTGAAGTACAAACTCATCTTAAAGTACAAACATTTACTTGGCTGTTCCTGACTAAAGAATATAAATTAATTAATTTAGCCTACTTATTCACTTTAAATTAGGTGAGATTTACTCTCCATTATAAGACTCAGGAAACTATAAATAACCCATGCAATGAAATCTGCCCTGATGATTCTCCTACAAAATCAATGATATCAACTGAAATCCACAATAAACTGACTGAATTATGTAGTAGGATCAAAATTTACATGGTTTAATCTCTTAATTTGGATTGAAAAAAAATTGCCTGTTGGTAAATTCCAAGTTAATCAATACATCTAATTACTTTTTCCCCATTAACTATCCAGTATCAAGTAGCTTTACAAAACTTTCAGTCCTTTCGATATATATTTTCATCTTGTAAGATATGGAACCTCGTCCCAAATCAAGTTACATTAAATTCCCAAGGCACTTTGTACTGAGTTATTGTCTTTCTGAAGATCACTTAAAGCACTTCTTTGTTTTCCAAAAATGCTTCCATAAAATCTCATCACCTAGCCTTCATTTGAACCAACAAATACAATCCTTATTTCCAGTTTATAAAGAATCTGTTGTTCCAAATATTTCCCATTCTGACAGGACCACATCATTAAATAAATCTACTCAAGTACTTCTAAAATAGTGCTACTGTGATGTAGATATATAAACATTCTGATAACTTTTACACCAAGACAGTTGTGAATATTTCCAAGGAAGTAAGAAAACAGGAAAAATTTTTCAAGGACATCTAAATTTTGATTAATTATCCTTTTCCTGTGTGAAAATGTATTTACTTATGAAACCATATTTGCACTTTCATGGTTCTGTCAATTCAATGCATCATTTTTCCTTGTGAGATTTTTTCATATGCTGTTATAAATAACATTCTCCTTGTTCTTATGTTAAGACAACAAAAGGAAAGAAGACTCAATAGAAGTTCAGTCGGGGTTCATATTATTTCTAAATCACCCAGAATATCCATTTCTAGCAGTATGTCAATGATTCAGTGTTACTACAGTATACCAAAAACACAGCCATGGCTTCTAGAGCTCAGCTCTGTTGCATACATTGCCCCAAGTCCACGCTTGCTGCTGAAACTGTAAAAACAGAAAGTCATGCCAAAACTTTCACAGATTTTCATGTCTAATATATTATTATGCATTTTTCTCTCTACCTGAGAAGTCACATGAGGAGGAACACTTTTTTTTTTTTCAGATGTTAAACAAAAGACATATTCTTTTAAAGGATATCTGCTTTTAAAGGATATATGCTTTTAAATGCTTTTTTTCAATCAGACTGATTAGTCTTTGTGATACAGTTAATCCCTCTGACTGGCAGAATTCCTTTAGGACACTGGTCATCAGTATTTTTAATAATCTTTGAGCAAGTTACTCAAAGATGTGGAGAGTTCAAATTGATACATGAAGAAAGCTCCAATTTTCCACCTTATCACAAACTAAACTGACATGGTAACCAAACAGCTCCAAATCACCACTTTTACTACTGCCTTGAGAGACATTTCATTAGCGAGTCAGAAATGTTAGTCCCTTTGAAACATGCAGTCACATACACCCGGACAAAGGGCAAGTGCCATTAAAAGATGATTAGTGATGAGAGGCTTTTGGTCTCATTAAATATTAAAATGGCTCTTAGGTCTGCTCATCATATAGCCTCTGTGATTGGCTGTTTGCAGCAATTTCTTTGACTCATTCCTTAAAAATTAATGAAAGCTATAAACAATAAACTAAGTCTCTCTATTTTTTCTTATTTGTCACATCCTACATTAAGAGACTTTTTAAAGAGCAATTAAAAATACAACTCTCCAAAACTTTTCCATCATTTCTTGCTACTGAACAACAGTGTACTTTGGTAGAGCTCTGACCCTAGATCCCAGTGTCGTTCAGTTACATGAATATTTCTAGAGTGATGATGAAAAATGACCACCAAATGATGGTTCTGCAATAAGCTAATCTGTAACATAACAGACCTTGGTGTCTCTCTTTGTAGACCTAGCAAAACCAGCTCATCAGTACTGGTCCTCACCAGGAATTCAATTTACAGATAAGCACAAACCATAAAGCTCTTTGGTGTCTTCCCACATACCTTTGCCTGGAGTTGTGTCCATTTCTGTTCCTAAAAGCAGAAGACTTAACTGGGAAGAACATTGTTTTAGGAATAAGAAGTTCTGAGATGTCTCTCACAGCCAATATCTATCATGTTAAGCTAAGTTACCTCCCAAGCCTCAGAGTCTTTGTGGCAATAATATTTAACTCCTTTGCAAAACTACCAACACTATTATGATATGGGGTCCTTTTTTTTTTGCCAGATTTCAGTGCAACAAATAGAGCAAACCTGTGCAACACTGAGCAACACTTGTGGCAGTCCGAGCATCTTCTATCTCTGGTCTTCGGCTTTAATGAAGATTTCAGCTCAGCGACATCAAAAACATAGATCAGGGTATGATCAAAGGCACTATTTCTAAATGCACATTTCTTTCTCTATTAGAGATCAGTGGTTACTGAGCCAACTATTTCTTGGTTGTGTTAGGTACATGCTCAAAATGAAGCACGTGCTTCAGAACCTTCTTGAACTGTAGCCTAGGGCTTGACATCACAGTTCTCAGGCTGCCTGAAACAATTTGCCAGTCAACTGTGAGCTGCTTTTGATACCTACCTGCACCCACAGCTGGGTCATTAATAGCAGTGAAAAGAGGCAGAGTGCCTTTTGGCTCTTGTTGCCAAACCCTCAGCACAGTTATGGGGTATTTCCCAAGAAGGATCAATGAAAGTAAGCATGAATATACTGACTAAACTTTAAAGGTTCTGAGTATTTAAAAGGGATGCTTTCTGTGTATATTTTAATAAAAAATGCAAGTATCTTGAAACATTCACTCCTGATGTCCACACTATAATTGCAGTGTTGATTGATACGTAAACAGCCATGTGCTAAGCAGACTACCACTGGAGATGAACAACACCTTTATATTCAATCTATCTATGGTTATGACAGGTTTAAATATATTACAGTTTTAACTTAACATGCTATCACTTTAAAATGTTTTCTGTAGCTACAAAAATGCTGCAGAAATGACAATTTTCTGGATTCTAAGGGTAAGCTTTCTTGATGCTCGCCTGAAGGAAGCTGCATTTTTTGTTCATTTTTATTTAAAATTGAATAGATCCTTCCTGTGACGTAAGTATGTACTTGGAAACATCAGTTTATGCAAGCAAACCCCTACTGTAGCCTTCTATTAAGTTTGTGAGCAATACTGGGCTGGAATCTAAACCAGAAAGCCCACTGAATAACTTTTGCAATATGTGGACTGCTATGCTACATCAGTGAGCTATGATGTTCTCTAAGGAGAAACTGCCACATTGTTCAATGCATGAGATGCTTTACTTTCAACAAAACAATGTTATTCCACTTGACACTCCTTTCAGCACTCACTTCTTTTTAATGAACTTACCACTTTGAAAGATGCCAAATGAACATACCTTGAATATCATTTTTGCTTATTTGCAAACATCAAGCTTCAAGGATCACCATGAAGCCTTGGCCTTGAAGCAGGACACCTAAAGCTAGAGTTAGCTGAAGTTTGCTCACTTTCTGGCTCCATAAGTTCCATTTCTTGCTTTGCAAGGTTTTTGTGAGGTGTTTCTGATGCAGCAGCCTCTGTTTTAAGAAGGAAACTTCCCTATAGTATGTAAATCTTGGGGAAGGTGATTTTTGATGCCCAAGTCTGTACACGTCCATCCATCTCTCCATCCACTCATTTAATGTAACCATTGATTTTCAACATAAAATTCAATGGAAACATTAAGGCACATAAATATTACTACTACAAACATGAGCCCTTATTTGAATATCGTCAAGATCAAGGTAATCAATCACTGCAATTTCTGTATGTCACGTGAAAATATATCTGTGAACATGCAGCTCCAATCACTGTTTTCACTGCCACTGTCCAATCACTGTGGGAACACAATGACCTCTTGCCTGGCATCTGTAAAGAAATGGATTCATTCTTTTACCAAGAACAAGAAAATGAAGCCTCGTACTCCTGCTGGGATTATATGGGTGGGGCTGGGAGAAATCCATCTTTTTGATGTGGAAGAAACAGACTGTTTCCAAATCCACAGACTGTGTTTGTGGAACCAGGAAAAGTGCAAGAAATGTGTAAAGATGGTGTCTCAATCAATTCACACCAGGTTCATCCTTCACTCATTCATACTTGGAAGAGAGGGAGGGATGAATGGATGACCCACTTCTGCAAAGCATGCCAGCTGCAGCCCAGCCTTATCATACTAACAGTGTGAGCTGTGGTGCAGAGGTTGCTACAGAGGGATTCATGACTCCTAAGCCATGCATCAGGGTGCTGCAGGACAATCATAGATGAAGATCCATATGGTGTAATCTCTCTTCCTATTAAATCATGGTGGCCGTATTTGAGAGGTTTCAGCTCTCAGTGAGTGCACCAGCCTCCAGCTCTTGCAAGCGCTGTACAGCATAATTCTTATCCCCTTATTTTCAGCTTCAAGTAGTTGATTATTCTAAATTCATGCAGTAAAAAATACAGCAATCAATTGCATAGATTTGGAAACCAGACTTCCTTATTTATGTTCACCATTTGCAGATTCCCATCATTCTCATAGAATCACACAATCACAAGGTTGGAAAGGACCTACAAGATCATCTAGTCCGGCCGTCCTCCCATGACCACTGCTACCACAAGCACTAAACCATATCTCGCAGCTCC